GAGAAAAGTTATTGAAGATTGTTGGTTAGGTGTTCAAATAACGTTTTATAGTTTTCACATTTAGGTGAAAATGTGAATTGATGATCCGACCGTTGGATCGTCACCAAACTTTGATACGTTGTAATACGTAATATTTGAGGATTATTGGAACTTACGGATTGGGAATCCGAGATACGGATCTTCCGGAATTGGAATTGTAAGTCCATAATATAAAATGTTAACCGTCACTTAGTTTTGGAAATTGACGGAGATCCGACCGTTGGATGGTAATGAAATTTTAGGATGTTGTCCTAGAGGTATAATGTGGACCTCTGGAAGTTATGGATTTAAAATCTGAGGGGTGGATCTTCCGGATCAATCTACGTAGTGACGTATTTTATATAAGTTATATATTCTATCGATATGAATTCTGAGGTTGGAATTGATTATTGTTTTAGGCGCCGATCGTCATGACGCCTTGGCGTATTGTGCTAGGGAGTTGTAGGGCGAACTCCAGGTGAGTGGGCAGTTTTGTTTTCCGTATTATATATATATATACTTAACGTTTTCCCAGAATGAATTGAAAATGCATGAAATTTATGTTTAAAATTGAAAATGAAATGCATATGAGTATGATATGAAAGATGAAATGTATGAAATAACATGTATAATGATGATGATTGATAATGTATTGGTATACATGAGCTGTTATGAAATCCTGCTCACCTGCATGGTTTAGTGCTTTATAGTATTCACCGCATCGCACGCTCGCCTTGGATCCAAGTAGATGCTAGTCGTACAGTCCACGCGGAGTGGGTACGACAGACCAGTCGCGAGAGTGTTAGTGAGATTCCGACTGGTGGGTGACCTTAGATTAGTGTGCACAGATGATTTATGAGAAGCACTAGAGCGTAACTTGTGTGCAGAAGGCCGGACGGGTCACAGAGGTGACTCCGGTAGAGTGATAATGATAGATTTTGAGCTCTAGGTTCAACCGTATAGGGCTATTAGAGGGCCTACGGTTGATTACTTTTTTCTTGCACCTGATATGAATTATGATTGCATGCATACCTTATATTACTGTTGAGATGAATGTGGCATGGCATAATTAATATGAGAAATGTTGAGATGACATGGCATGGCATGATTTGATATAAAGGAGATAATGTTGAGATAGTAAAAAATGAAGTTTTGAGAGATATATATGTATATTTATATTTTTACATTTCTGGGAAAGTATACAGGTTTTACGGAGAGGGGTTACAACGTTTTGAGAAATGTTTGGATTTGGAAAAGAATTGTTTTACTGACCCACTCAATTTTGGTTTTGCGCCCCTCCAGGTTCAGGAATCACAAAGGTGTGGTGACTACGAGGAATTCGACGGTGTTCTGACAGATTGGACAAAATTAGGACTCACCTTCGGGTGTATCAATTTAAATTGTATCTTAAAGCTTCCGTACTGTGCAAATGGTTACGTCACTCTCACGTGACGGCCAGCATGCCCTCCTTCGGGACGGGGTGTGTCAGTCGAGTTGTGGAGGATCGAACCAACTCAAATTGCATGATTGTTACACCTTTGGACATAAACTAATCATGCAAAGAAAATACATGCATAGCTAGCCAAAACATAAAATACACAACATACATATAGCTTCAACAGCTTTGGCCAGATGAAAATATGTTAGAAGTACTTTATGATTTGCTATAATACTAATTTATAATTGGTGAGTGATTTCCTGAAATTCCCATTGGGACAAAAGTATTTACCATATAAATTAGAATTCTGATTTTTAAAATAATCCTTTAGAACAGTATTAAATAACCGTTTTGTTGGATATTCAATTATTCTCAAAAGATTCAATCAGACACAAAACTATGTCGTTGTTGACATTGAACAATAGAGTTCTCGAAAGAGGAAACATGGTTATTCAGTTATTTGATAGGGACCAAAATGATCAATTAGTAAATTGATGCCGCTTTCCCTCTTAAAAGACAATTATCATTTCAGAATCATGATGACCAAACAAAACATTGGTTTAAGCAAAACACAACCAATACATCTTTAAATCAAAATTTAATCAGTGTTGTCTATAAAATTCATTAGTATTGATAAATTGCATAAAATAAGGACATATTGGAACCATAAACTTGTATAATAATTGGTACCAATAGATGTGCACAAATCAGTGAAATAATATCACATAACAAAACTAGTTTTGAAGTACCAAAATTCAGCAGTACTTCTTTAGTTTGCAAATTCACTAAAAACTCAATTATCTTTTGATTGTCATGAAAATTTTAGGTATGCACTAGACATATATGGCTACTATTTCGTAAAATTTAATGATTTTTAATATTTTAAGAGAGCCAAAACTTGAATTTGAAAAGAGAGGTGCTGCAGAAACTGCAGAAAATGTTCAGTACAGACTTGAGATTACAAATTCACCAAATATTCATTGTTCATCCGATATGCATGAAAATTTTCAAACATAAATTAAACATACAAATCTGTTAATTCCCAAAATTTCATAATTTTTGAGACTTGACAAGTGTACTAAAAGAAAATACGAAATGGGATGTGCTGCAGAAACGGCAAAAATTCTGCAGTACATACCGAAGATTAAATAATTCACAAAAAATTCAATTTTCAAACCAATGCTTGTGAAAATTTCCAGATTTGAAATAAATATCTCAATGTATATCATACTAAAATTTCATGAATTTATCAATTACAAAAATATATCAAAATAATATTACAAACACAATATTATGCAGAAGTCTGCAGAATTCCAGCAACATGGTATCTCACTTAAAAATTTACCATAAATCCATTTCTTGTCCAAAAAACGTGAAAAAATACCAGCATCTGAAGTCCATTTAATATTACGACTTGACCAAATTTCATAAAATTTGAAGTTAGGGAAGTCTATCAAAAACTAGAATGTCTATCAGCTATACGAAATATGCACTTATACCAAACAAGAGTCTGCAAAAGATTTACGATGTCATTGAAAAAACTTCCCAAAATCTCAATTAAGAATCGATAGCCCAGAACTACTCATATAAATAAGATACATGAATTTCAAATTTGTCAAAAATAACTAAAGTCCATCAGAATTGCAAGATTTATGGTTCGAAAATAATCTAGTTCATTGAAAGCCCAATAAAAGTTTCCTTCCAACAGATTTAATTAATCATGAAATCAATACAGCAATATAATTAATAAATACAATAAACCTAAAGCCGTGTTGTAATCCTTCTCTGCCGCACAACGATAATTATTCTGGAAAAGGAAGACAACCCTATATACTCAAGAAAACTCCATATTCTACCGAAAGGAAGAAAAAGGACAATTAGCCGGTGACTAATTATGAACTCCAAATTCACCGTGTAGTTAAAATATTTCCCCTTTATTTTCCATGCCCAATTTTAATTTGTTTGGACCTAAATCCCTAAACAAAATTGCAGACTCAGTGATACAAAATTGCGGAAGCATCGGAAGCATCTTTATGAAGTCTCACAAGATCGAATAGTCAAAATAGCCAACCAAACGATAAACACAAATTATGCTTCACTTGTGTCAATCATCTACAGTTAATCAAATTACCTGTGAATCGAACCCTAAGCTTGTTGTGTGGCTCTTATACCACATGTAAGACATATTCTGAAATCACAACAACAAGACATTAGGATCACGAATAAATCAAATCAATATGAAATAGAGATTGACTAATTATATTGAACTTATCTATAGAATTCGGAAGACATGGTTATGAAGATGAAGCCATTGATGAACTCTAGGTTATCTTCTCCTTCTAGTACTTCAATAATATCTCTCTACTATATGAGTAGGGTTTAGCGTATCTGAGAGATTAAGCATATGGAAGCAGGGACCTAACACTTATTATTGGTTGTGAAAGTCAAACCCTATCACTTAGTGTTTAAGTCCCACCATGATACTATATCTTTGTAGTGAAATCCATCAGATTTCTTTAGGTCAATTACAAAGGATAAGACTCCATAATCCTTATTTCATGAGGACTATCAGATTACTTAAGTTGTTAACAACTCAATAAACAAGTGGCCTACAACATAAGTAATCCAATACATCATTCATTGTCATTCACAACCTTACAGTTAACATATTAAATGACTTAGGGCTGGTTTGATATTACTATGCTTTGAAAAAAAACTGCTTATGTTGTGCTGTGAGAATAAGCAGCTGTGAAATAAAGCAGCAGAGTGTTTTGTAAACTTTTTTGTAAAAGTGCTTTTGAAAAAAAAAACAGTATTATAGTGCTTGGTAAATTTTTATGTAAAACAAATGTGAAAAAAGCCGGTTTTTTAAAGTTGGGTTTTGCAGCTTTGTATTTTTGGCTTTTTTCACCCAAAACTGTGAAAAAAAAGCTAAAGTTAAATGTTTACCAAACACAAAAAAACTCCCAGCTTTTTTTTATACCCATTCTTTTTCAGAATCACCTTAGTATCAAACCAGACCTTAGTAGGTGCAAGAGCATACAATTGATTATAAAAACAAACTCTCTCGTTGTTGAGAACGGAAGATGACATACAACTGATTGATTATCCCACACAATTTGATAGACACAGTATTATATATATATTTTGGTCAACAGACACAGTATTATTTGGCGTTAACCAATTACATAACTTACTAGATACAAGAAGATATACAACGGAGACCTATATGTCCAATAATAGAGACAGAAGTGATTTGATGTGCATGCAATAATGGAACATCGGATAGTGCCAATTCTTACATCAATTTGCAAACACTCCTCGTACAACCAGCTGCCAATTCTATATATTGTATATTGTAGAGTAATATTTGAGAGACCAAATTTTATAACAAAATGATATGGTTGTTGATGAATGAGTTATAACTTAAGTATAATTAATGTGTTTAATTTTTTATTGATGACACATAATTTAGTTTGCATATTTGTTTCAAAAATTTGATGTAACTAACATTACCCTATACTTTATAACAGGCACACAAGCATGCACAATTAAATCAGAGATCAACTAGGAATTACATAAAAAATGCAACAAGTAGCGTTGCAATTTGCATTGATTTGAGTTTATTAATCATGTTTAACCCAACAAAATGTATTTACAAGTTCTTCTTCGAACCTTCAATCCCAAGACCTTAATACATAATTAAGCCTAAAACCACATGCTAATCTAACTACCAAACGACACGTCGCTTTGGTTTTGCTGAGCTGGACGCGGTTTCACCAACTATTCTACTGTAATCATCCCATAATCTAACGACGTTACCGTTAAGCTCCGTCAAGTCCTGGTACCTGTACCAACTCATCTCTCCCGTTCTCAACGTCAAAACATCCTCCCACCAACTAGCCGCCGCCACCTCATCGCTGCCGCTTTCTTCCGTCTCATCCTTCTCCGGCGTCAGTGATGAGGTCGCTGTCAGGTCACTCTCAACGTCACTATCCTCAAAATACACCGCAAACTTCGAACCCTTTGTCAGCTGCACTGTGCTGTCACCGAACTTAGCCAATGCCGGAACAAAGCATGGTGGCTCCACCTTCTTCGCCGCCGAATTTGACTGAGTTATCTCGGGAACCGGCGACGACCCATTTAAGCTGAGGCCGGAAATGGCAGGTTGGGAGCGGAATTTCAATGCAGAAGAAGAGATGGCACTGGTGGCGGCGGCTCTAGGTCTGAGCCTCCAGAAGCTAACGGCGGCGGTCAAAACGGCGATCCAAGTCCACAGATTGTTCACAACAGTGAACAATCCGAAGCTCAAGTAATTGAAAGCAAGAGCTTCGAGATTAGAATCCAACACGTTCATGATTGAAATCGAAGGTTGCGAAACAGAGGCAGAGGAGGGTTTTTGTTTTGGTGTTGGTTTAAGGTTTGTGAGAGGTGTGAAGCTTACGAGGTGTTGGTCTCTGGTGGCGGTGAATTTATGGGGGTAGGAGAGCGAGGGCGCGGGAGAATGTGAGCCGTTGGTTTCTTTAGGCCCTGTCCAGTTTGGATCTCGATAGAGAGATGCCAGAAGAGATGCCAGGAATCGAGAGCTAAGATGCGAATCGCTCAATGGTAGATCCCAATTCTTATACCGCATTTTTTCACCACTTGATTTGATTGAGTCATGGCTAGGAACCAAGTGTCGTCTTCCTTTCGTGAACCCCACAGTGAGAAGCAAACCCTTGCCTTCATGCTCACCATTAAAATAGCATGGTCTAGAAACTGATAGAAAATTGTAGGATAACAAACATACTTGTGGTTGATAGGCTTTGGCAGTCATTTCAGTTAACCACGCGTAACTCACTCTTAGGAATGTTCCGTTATTTCAAGTTAGTCACACATATTTTAATTTTTATAATGTAGTATGCTCTTTTTTTAAGATAATACATGGAATTATATATTCTCGTAAGCAAAGAACCGCACCTTACAGTAATTTCTAATAGTACGAACCCCTACATTAGAATTCTTGTGTTCGATTTTTTCTTAGGTAATATCAAATTATAGAATATAGAAAAAATAAAGGGGTTTTTGAACATTAGTCCTTGCAAAATATTAAAATTTAAAAAAAAAATCTGGTGCTAGATTACATATTCAACTTAATCCCTTGAAGTGCACTTTTATCAAAATTTAATTCAATTTTATTATTTAATGTGTATTTTTATTTAATCTCTCCACATTAAATTTTAATTTTATTAATATGCACATATTTAGTTTTTTAATTATAAATGAACATAAATGAGAAAATATTAAAATAAATTTGTGATACAAAAATATATAAATACATAAATAACTGTACCGAAATATATAATATTGACTTTTTGTACCAAAATATTTGTACGTACATGATTGTACCAAAATATATTATAATGAACCTAAATGTATGTACCGAAATGTATTATATTGAATTAATATACCTAAATGTCAATACCGAAATGTATGTACCAAAATGTATGTACCGAAATATAATATATTGAATTAATGTACCTAAAAGTCAATACTCAAATGTGTGTACCAAAATGTACGTACCTAAATACATTATATTGAATTAATGTACTTATATGTTTATATCGATGGATATACAGAAATATTAACCTAGATGAAGAACATACATAATTGTTATCGGAATATATATTATAAAAAAATTAGTTGCCTAAATGTAGACATTAAAATATATTATGATGAATGAAATAAAAATTAAATTTAAATGTAATTAATACATTAAAATAAAAATAAAAAGATAAATAAAACATCAAAATATAACTAATAAGTGAGATGATTAAATGTAATAGGGACTAAAATTGAATTTTAATCTTATACAAGATTATAGTCTAAAACTCATCTTTTTTAAGGATTAAAATGAAGTTTTCTAAAAAATGGACAATCGTGCAGTGTATATCAAAGCCAAATATGTATACCATTATGGCATTATCCAATCAAGCTTCGGATATTGTTGCATTATGTGCTGTCTTTTTCTTAATTCAAAGACTCGTATCAGCCTGCATTACACTAGGTAGAGTATTACCCTTATTTTCAGTTTAACACAAGAAAATAAAATAAATGTATGTGGTCTAATGTTTTAATGGATAAATTATTGAGTTTCTACTCATGTATTTTAGGCTTGAAAATCCATCATTTTTAAATTAATGTAATAATTTTGAATCATCTTCCTCCCCTTAATAACAGTAACCAAGAAAAACGTAAGAAAATAAATAGGATAAGAATGAGTAATGTTATTCATGCTATGTTTTTATACCACATTTATATACCATCTTAGGTGGTATCTGTTGTGGACACCCAAGGAAATGAGAGAGAAAGACTCCTCGTATACCACAAGCATCATTTAATTAACTAGTTTTTCTTAATTATTAGTTTATTAAATAATAAACTAAATTTAAAAATCTAATTAATTCAAATGATTTGGTTGTCCACATCAAATGCTACCTAAGGTGGTATGAAAATGTGGTACAAAAATATGGTATGAATATCTTTACTCATAAGAATTTCAAGAAAAGAAAAGTGAAACGTGACAGAAGGTTGTTAGCTCAGCATGGAGTTACATGCACATGTAATACTACATTGTATTTTGACTTTTGAATTAGATTGAAATGAATAACTCTAATTTGAAATTAGAGGGGGATAGAAATAAAATAAACTTTAATTCTACAATTCTCGGGAGAATTGTAATTGATCAGTTTTTTTTCTCAGCAATCCATTTATTTTCTTGAAGAGCTACAATTTTCTCATGTCTTTCTTTTAACGTACGTTAAAATAGTGGCTTGCCCTTTTAATGCAAACTTTGGTACGAAACAAGATTGTATAGTGTTCACATTCCACACTAATTAGAATGCAAGATATGAATGCCGAGCGAACTAATTGGTGGTTGTGATTGATTAGAGTAGCGTTAGGTAAAGATGATCTGGTAGATATCTTGTCAAAATGTTTAAGCTTGATGCAGAACACAAAGTCCATTAAATGACAACCAATTGTATGGGGAGTATAAGGTTTAATTAAACTTAAAATGTTGTCACTTAGGAATTTGTTAAGTCTTGTAAGAGTCCCATAGAAAGAAGAGGTTTATAAAATATTATAAGCCTTTTAAAGTGTATTAGAATGCCTAGAATGGCAGACTTGATTAATTAGTAAAGAAACATATTAATATATGCCTTGTACAATTGAAGTGAGTGACTTTCATTTGAAGAGTTATAGATCACCAAAAATTTCTTGGAGTCTAGTTTCCAACGCAACAAATCGTGCATCAAATCAAATTTTTTCTGTGCAGATATTGGCAAAACACCACAGAGCATCAGTGTTGTGGCAAAAAAAAAACAATCAATTCCTTAATGGCCATGTTTTGATTTGAGCATTTCTCGACTTTGATGCCATATATCATTTGAAAGCCCTTCCAGTCTAGTTTTTAACTTTCCATGCGATTCCTCAAACTGTTATTTCTACAAAACGATATCCTCAATTTACTAAAGCATGTTGCTACTGCCAGTAAACAAGGTTAGGTGGGTTCTAGAAACGTCTGCCTCTGATTTTTCTGGTGACGACTTTCTAAATTTTAATCTTCCTCCAATTTTTATCATTGTCTCGATGGTTCATGTGAGATTTGTTGTACTACATGTATTGAGGTTGAAAAATGTTCCAACATTGAGTTTGGCATGAACGGGGAACATATAGAATGCAGTGACGAAGTCGATAACTTTGCTAAATGGGATTTTGCCGCAGTTTATGATCATTACGAAGGCGAAGAAGATGTAGTTGAAGAGTTCCATGTAAAAATATATAATGGAGTACAAGCTCTTAAGATATGTAGCATTCATGATCCATTTTGGGACGGTTTCGTTGCTCGAGATGAAAGGAGAGCTCTTTGATAGAAGAACTTTTCAACATGATTTAAATTATCTTTTACTCATTCACAAGTCATGAATGTGAAGAAGTGATTTGGAAGGATTATTCCAATGTGATTATTCTCAAGAAGAAAAGATTAATGTGTGCATGGTCTATAGGAATTTGGAAAATTTTGTTGCTAAATTGGGTTTGTGGAACATCTTAGTTGGACATCCAGAAGATCGATGAGAAAAAAGTCAATTGAAAATAGAGAACAAGTTCTTTTTTTTTTTTTTTTTTTTTTACAAAGAAGAGTAGAATGATGCAGTACACAAAATTCATTAAATGACAACCAATTGTATGCGGAGTATAAGGTTTAATTAAACTTTAAATGTTGTCACTTAGGAATTTGTTAAGTCTACTGTCACTTAGGAATTTTTTAAGTCTACTTTGGAGGTTGTAAGAGTCCCATAGAAAGAAGAGGTCTATTAAATATTGTAAGCCTTTTAAATAGTGTATTAGAAGCCTAGCTAGAATGGCAGACTTGACTAATTAAGAAATACACATTTGTCTTGTGCAGTTGAAGTGGGTTATTTCTCCTTCTAAAATCAAACATTTAGTTTAGTTATATGAGTGAATCCACAATTAACAACGTACAAAAAAACTCTGTTTTCCGAGCGAATCCTAGGTGACTTGTCCTTCGTCCCCAAAACTCCTTGGACCCTGCACCAAAGCTGATAGGGTTGGGGAAGTCATGATTAATTGATGGGCCTATCTTTTAAGCAATTACTTTATATACAAATGGTTGGAAAATATTAGTATTTTGATTTATTTGAATGTTTGGTTTTATGGGTTTAGCCCGTTAGAATTAGGTTTTGTTAGAGATTATGGTTAGTTTATTATAAATAAGGTGCTTTGTTATTCATTGGAGAACAAGTCATTAACAATGTAGTCTTTTAGGGTTTTGTGGCCATTTCGACATTCTCGTTTATTTAATAATATTCTTATTATTTTGTTAGTCTTGTTCGTTCCACACTCTGATATTCAACTAATAGTTTGACAAGTCACACGTATACCCAAAAAAAAAAAACAATTGTTATCTTTTTAAGGCTTTTAATGCGGTCCCTTGGTTTCTAATGATAGATTTAAATGAATTGTCTATGGTGACTTCATCATGCGATGTATATGTATACATTTATAGAAAAGGAAATTAAGTTGCAGAAGCTTTAGCTTAATTTGGGGCAAAATGCTTATTAGTCTACGGTTCTAGATTTTGTTGCATTTGCCCGTGCTCATGACATTTCATTTTGTCCTTATTATCGTTTTCGTTGATCATGTTGTATTTGGCTTCTTGGCATAGTCCCCGGCTTGTATTTTTTCGTTTACTTTAATTATTATCAACAAATTTGGTGGAAGAGGGATATGCAGGAGGTTTCTGGGTGCAATCGTTCTCTTCTCTTCGGGAAGGTAGGTGTCTCGCACACGACCATTGTCGAATAGCTAATCTCGTCTAATTTTTTTCTACCTGAGAAGAAAAAAAAACTAAATTTGTTTGTGCCACTTAGTATTACAGTCCAGTGATTTATATTCAAACTTTGTAGATGAAGACTTTAATTCCCCTGCCTGTTAATGTAAATGTATTTTATATAAGAAAATAAAATAAATAACACATTACCTATTACACATAAGAACAGCCAAATATCATCTGTTGATGACAAGCGATAGAGCTTAGAAAACCCGAAAGACAAATATGGAAGAACCTATTACACATAAGAACAGCCAAATATCATCTGTTGATGACAAGCGATAGAGCTTAGAAAACCCGAAAGACAAATATGGAAGAAGGGCCA